GAATTAGTATGTTTTATGTTGTCTTGGTAGAATAGCCAATCCAGTACAAAATTGGAAACATGAGTCTAAATGGTGAGCATAGAAGAGCAATTTCAATATCACTGATTGATTGACTCGCTTTCAGTCATAAACATCCTGACACAAACGAAATGTTCTGATCCACAAACATGGGTGGATTGAGTTCATGGCCCTCACCACCAATTCTTACTGGTTAGTAACGCCACCCTCCCACCTTGTCTTATAGTACTCGAGTAATCTTTCGACATCTTTGAGTCGTTCTTGCCTACAAAGTGCATACATAAGGGTCTGCTCTTGCCCAGTACTACCAGTAATGATTAGCTGTAATAGTGGACAACAAAATGAAGTTTTTATTATTAGTTACTCAACTTTTTAATTCTGATAAATCGAGTTGATAAACACTACCTCTAGAAACGCGCGATAGATAGCTATTTGCTATGCCTATTTGGCTCCTAACCACATAACTCTCGAAGGTAAACATATAATCACTGGGAAAATTTACATTCAACATGTAACACTTGATGGATGTCAATAATCGTGAACACGGAAATAATTTAGTCGATATGCAATGGCTCGGCCTTGCGGGCGTGGTCACTATACGTAACGTATCCCAGGTTTCATGAAATATGTAATTTTATCTCCAGCCCAAATATGTTCTTCAGAAGTGTTAGACATTGTATTGCTGATTTTACGATATAATTAGTCAGAATAGACAATGATGTAACTTCCATGTAAAATCTTGTGGATTGGGTAGCCACATCATGACACGTTTACAATTCTTGAATTGGCTATACTATTACAGTGGTGCAGACAAATGTACTAAAAGCGAAGTAGACCGTGATCCCACAAATGCTCATAAAGTGAGTGGTTATCAGAAAAAGCATAGGTTGTTGACAAGGGTAACGTAACTCTCGACCCAAACAGATGTAAATTAGTAAATGCAGTTAGAAGTACTGAGAAAAGAGGACCTGAAAATTTCTGTTTGTTTGACTGAACAAAACATTCCATGTAACGTCATCAGTCTTCCTGATGGATAAGCAACCTTCGAAGCGCCATTTATCTGTACTGCAAAGAGCATGTCGATCACCAACGTAGATGATCTATGTCGAATGATCGGGGGCCTACCCGAGTTAGGCGCGAGTGGTGTGACCAAAAGCTAACGTTGAGGTCACATCTCACAGTCAGCACCTAACGTAGATTATCTATTCGTTGTATCTTGTTACCATGGATGCTTTGAAGACCGTTATTATACAAATATATTAGTTAGAGTAGGTACAAGGGAAAGCGTGATTACTAACGCATGGGCCAGTCCATAGTGTGAGATTAACTGATGTGCGTTGTTTGTTCTTGACCCTGAAGGGGATCGATGAACTGTTCAATATTCAGCGACTAAATTAACAGATGATTTGGCTAGGGCTCGGTAGCACTTTATTGGCCCTACAAGCATACATAGCGGTGTACCCACGCTCAAGATTATCAGGAACGACTAGCTGGAATAATAGAAAGCTTCAAAATAAAGTTGTTATTACTCCTTACCTATCCAACTTTGTTAATCTGGTAAGTCGAGTCAATACATACCACCTCTGGGAAGCGTGTTAGATAGCTACTTGCTTCATGCTACTGAAGCAAATCATAGACATGTCCCTTTTTTTCAAGTACCCATACTTCTGTGTTTGGCTGAAGCGCTGTAAAATCTCATTGAAATATTTAATGTCTATACTCAGTTAATTAGGATGTGAGTTAAAAAACCTGAGCACAACTGTGACCGCATTTTGAAAACATTTTCTTTGGTAAGCTGCTTGCGTAACTTTCAAGAAAACAGATATCGAATGATACTCGTTGGTGAGTTGCACATAGGAAGCGGTCTTAAATAAAATTGTTCACTTGATGACGACTGTCGTCTCGAAGGATTTACAGAAATATATCCTTCTGTGCAAAGATGGTTTTGCACGGTTTTAATAAAAGTGACCTTTAGCTCGCTATTTACTGCACGGACCAAAAATCCAGAATGATAGTAGCAATATTTTGATCCGAAGGATAAATGCACTTGAAATGAAGCAAACGTAGATTACCGACCTCACCTTTTTTGTCTAGGTTGTAATGGTGCGTTAAGGGGTGTTCGCTCTACGGTAGAATTTTGATCACCATTATCATCTACGTCCTGAAGACAGGCATATGGTTTCAATGCCCTGAACTTACACCAATTTGTACGAACACATCGAACAAGAAACTGCTTTAGAGTTGGTTCATCGTTCTTTTTAAATATTGAGATGACACAATTAATGGACGTACAATGTGCAAATAATTATTAATCACGGAAGTGCTATAACCCTATGTACTTCTTTCAGGCAGGTATCAAAGTCTCCACAATCGTTAAATTGTCGCGGTAGCATAGTGTCTTAGTGGCCTGATATCTTGACGCCAATTAGATCGGACGACTTTGTCGACGGGCTCACCACTTTAGTGAGTCTATATCTCACTCCAATTAGACTGTATGTTGACCGCTATTAAAATATACATATAGCCAATCCTCTTATATAATCATCGACTTGAATCGCGTCAGTTAATAACGGAATGAAATAAGCCAAATACGAGAATGAATATTGAATATATATATTTCATGCACTCATTGACTTGAACAGGCAATCGGAGAGACGAAAAAAGAGGAAATAGCTAAGCGGATTGGAGAGGGCAATTGAGCTCACTCGATTTTATCGAGAGTTAATCAATATTTATAGCCAGATAAAAATAAGCTACAGACACGTGATGAGTAGGATAAGATATGCACACACATAAGCTCATGTCAAAACAGTCAGAATAAATAAACCAACAAGTGGCAAGGCCGGAATGTGGTTTAAGAAGAATGGATTGATTAGCTTGTCAGGAAGCTAGAACAAACTATTTGGGTAAACGTAGCATATGACGTTACACACTGTCTTTGAATATTCGTCCCATATCATGCATTATTATGATGGCACCACTTTCGTTAACTGAAGGATGGAGGCTATCAGATATAGTGCAGCTAAGCTCACATCAAATATAAAATTGTCTTGATTTGACCGCTTCTGCAAAACCTTACGAGTTGTCGGGGTGACGCATCAATCGCTTTGCGACGGTTTGACCTTCATGTGCTCAGTAACCTCCACGGTGGTCGATAGAGCTGAATTGTAGCCACTTTAGAACATCGGCCTATTATTTCAACTGCATTGCCTAATTGTCTTTTATTTGTATAAATACTTCTAGGCTCGATTGGTTGCCCTTTTATTCGACGTAAATGCATTTTTTGTGCCTAGTGGAATATCTGCCCACACATTCTCATATAACGAAAAGGTTTAAACAGTGGTTGTTCGGAAAACTGCGCAATGCGAATCTTGGGTTTTCCCCCAAACTTTGGGGATTTTTCCCGAAATCGGGAGATTGGGATCCTTACTCCCCAAAGATCTCTTTTAGATATAAACTTTCCCACATTATTATTTTTTTAGGCTTTGTGATGCGAACTTGTTAACGATTGTATGTCTTAGGAAAAGTGTATTGATTTTGTTTAGCACGGAAAGTTATCAGGTCCTTGTTTTCATGCAATAGACAATACCGTTTCCAGGTTAATGTGCTACGTACATAGTCCACCACCAGGATATTGAGTGACTTTTTAAATCAGGATAATCGTAAACGCAAGGTTTTCTAAGGATGCCTGGACTTTATTTTGACCTGACTTATATCCCACTCTCGATTTTGGGGTTTTTATGCCATTTCCCCAGAATTTTCTATTACAGCTTCCCCGAATTCCCTGAAATCGGGAGGTTGGGATCATGTCCCATGATTTGACAAATCGGACTACTGTTCACCAGCAGTAAAATGTAGTTCGAAAAAGCCTAAAACTTCTCACATCACTAAATTTGACGGGAGGTAGGCGGAATAACACATTAAAAGCGCTTGCTCAGAAATACTCGTTGGAATATACTCATGTATTACCTCTTTGCAAACTAATTACTACTTGCAGAACTGAGCTTAAAATATAGTTCTTAAGGTCCAACTGCTTTTCTTAATCAATAGGAGCTTTGTTTCCGGAGGTTCATGAAAATAAAAAAATATACACGTTATATGGAAATCAACTCTGATGTCAAATCCATCTTTGATTTAACAATATATTTTAAGATCTCCATGTTTGTGTAAAAATATAGTAACCACAAATTCCATAATTTACGGGCTTTATTACCTACAATAATTTGCTTTCTCTTTCATATTGCTAACCATTTCGGATAACGGGTTTATTCTCGGATCATACTTGATTCCGTTCTTAAATTCTGTTAAGTGAATTAAAATGAACTGAAAAACACTGCTCAAAGTAATGCGACGCATCATACGTCCTTTCGAAGTATTACTAGCCTATGTAAGAACCACTAAATCATCAATATTGAAGTTAAGCATATGATGCTAGGTAACGATGACACGTCGGCTGATGAGGTAGCAAATCCTCATCGACTGAGGTGGTTAGATCATATATTCTGAATGCTTAAACATCAATTGACGGATTTTTATGGTGTTGGATTAGGCCGAAAGGAAGCTACGGGCGGCCAAACTAATATGTTGCATTAATCCATGAAGTTCCACCATTGAATTGAACTGTGTTGACAAGTGCAGATTAACTAGTTGGGGTCCGCACAATTATTGTAACCAATGATTGTATGTTTTGTGAGCTGGTTCAGAACCGGTCTCGGTGGTGCAGATGCACTCAATCTTAGTTTCTCCTTAGATTCTAAGTGCCGAAACTTTAACTTTTTCCTCTGTGTACTTAATCTTCCTTGCTATTAATAATATTTTACTACTTCTACTCAGATTTATTTTGATTATTTTATCTCTTTATGCTGATATGGTGTAGACCTTTTCCCCAGATTCTACTTTAGATATGACTGCTGACTAACTGGATAAACCACATGCATTTTATATTTTATTCATTTCATGTTTATTTCGTCTGATGACATTAAATGTCTTTCGACACAATGTTGTGCGTACGTTATTCCTGACAATTAATAATATTTTATTATTTACAGTACTCTACCAAGTGTATACAAAAACAAGGTAAGCTAATAATTCCTTTAAGGACCTAATAAGCTTTTGCATATCATTCATTTAAAATAATGGGTTTTAGGATAAAAACCCGTTCTTTTTTCTGAGTTACAAACGCTTTAAGGAGCATGGATTGCAAATATGTAAAATTTGTGGTCGTATTAGTCTAAACTAATCGGTTATATAAAGGTTCGTTGAGAAAAACCACCATTCTGTTCATTTCGTTCTTGTTTATCTCTTATATCTAGTTTAATCATTACGTTTCTTATTTCGTTCAAAACTTTTTCGGTAATAAAACCTTAAAAATACGTGCACTGAAGTGTGTCTATCCAAGTTTTCACATTCTCATGTCAACGTAGCGAAAATGGAAGTCGACATGATGATATGCTCAGGGGGAAGTAAATAGTATTAACTGTCATAAATGGCTAGACATAAAATGTAAATAATGTTGAGCTGGGATTTAGAGGGAAAGCAACAGCGAATGCAACTTGGACTAGTTTCTGCCCATTTGTGTCAATCCTTCCAACCAAAATTAAGGCTTTTGAGGTAACTCCAGCTAAGAAGCTCGCATTTACCGATATAACTCAGACTAGCAGTTGATGACTTCATGTAATAATCCCATGTATTTATCTTCCAATCCCATTCGTATTTTAGACAGTATGGGTTGGCAGAACAAGCAGTAATTAAGCATAGGTAACACTTCTCGTCTACAGTTGATAAAGGTGTGCAGCTTCCACTATGCGCGAACAAACTTCAAAGACATCCATAATCAAACACAGATAACCTGTGCGGGTCTTGTACTTTTACAATCCATATTTCTTAGCTGTAGAGGACTACAGAACATCTCTGTTCAGCGTATTCGTCCTTTAACCTATTCCATAAGTAACAATTCGGCAAAAGTTAATGGGGCTTGTATCCATCCTATGGTTTCGTCAGCCGCTGATCTACCAGGGCTAGTGAGACTTAAATGGCATGGTCAATACTTTTCTCCATTTCGCCCCTTTTTAGTCAAACCAGGCACTGATAGAAGAGTCATGCAGTGAAGTTTTGTGGTTAGAGGGAGGGTCACCCATCCAATTCGAGCTTCGATTGTTACCCAAGATAGCTAGAATAATGTTTCATATCAACATATTCATTAAACAAAATTATGCCACCCATAAATTAGGAAGTCAAACGAAAGAATTGTTATCTTTAAATAGATACATACAAGAAGACTCAATAAAATCTGAAGGATTGTACACTATGTTTGACACACTAATTATTTTAAAACTAGCAGTGTTATATGCTCTGATCTGAATCTGAGATTGAGGACAACGGTGGTTAATAGTTCTAACCAGGGATGGAGCTTACCTAATGCTTGCAAACGGTTCATCTGTTCTCAGTATTTCTCTAACTGAAGATTGACACATGAAACTTCGAGTGAATTCTCTTTAGTTTAAGGTCTGGTCATCTAATAGTGGATTTACAGATACTTTGTGCACTTTATCTTCAGTTTCGGTCCTTAGGTATAGTTTCTATCCTTGGCCAACGTGCTTTCAATCCACTAAAATTACTAATACTTGGTCAGTAAGTTTTACTGACCCTCCATTCCCAGACAGTGTGAATGGAACATTGAAGTAGGTCCCCCAACTCTTGCTGAAGTTCAAAAGGCTATAGTTAATCTGAAACGAGGAAGGGCAGCTGGTCCAGATGGATTGGCTCCAGAGGTCTTTAAGGATGGTGGTCCAATTTTAGCGATTAAGTTGACTAATATTTTAGCTAAGATCTGGGAATTAGACTTTATCCCATCTAACTGGTCACAATCACTTATCGTCCCAATATATAAGAAAGGGTCAAAATCATCCTGTGACAACCACAGAGGGATTAGTTTAACAAACATAGTATCTAAAATACTGGCCTCGATAATTATCAAACGCCTAACTAAGACTCGTGAACTACAAACTCGAGAGAACCAAGCTGGCTTTAGACCTGGTCGTGGCTGCATCGACCACATATTCACCATTCGTCAGGTTCTAGAACACAGGCATACCTATCGGCGTCCGACGATGGTGGTCTTTCTTGACTTAAAAGCAGCATTTGATTCTGTAGACCGCGAGACTCTGTGGCAGTGTCTGTCATTGAAAGGCGTACCTCAGAAGTACATAAACCTTGTGAAGGCTCTTTACTCGAACACTACTAGTCGAGTCAGAGCTTATGGCGAACTGTCATCTGCTTTTGCAACCTCAAGTGGTGTCCGTCAAGGCTGTCCACTTTCTCCATTTTTGTTTAACTTCATCATAGACCTATTGATGGAAATAACACTCTCGTCGACTGAATTCTCGGGTATTGACCTCCTTCCAGGAGGTCCACTTATCGACTTAGAATACGCAGATGACATAGTCCTGTTTGGTGAAGACGCTGACAAAATGCAGAGTCTTCTGGTAGCACTAAGCAACAATGTCAGAATGTTTGGGATGCGCTTCTCTCCCTCTAAATGCAAGTTGTTGCTTCAGGACTGGTCTGCGTCAACACCTGAACTAAGGATAGGGAGTGAAGTAGTCGAACGCGTCGACAACTTCACTTATCTTGGAAGTCTGATCAGCCCTAATGGGTTGGTGTCTGACGAAATCTCAGCACGGATTCGAAAAGCTCGCTTGGCTTTTGCCAACTTACGTCACCTTTGGCGGAGGCGAGATATCCGTCTATCAATAAAAGGACGAGTATACTGCACGGCAGTCCGTTCTGTCTTACTTTACGGCAGCGAAACATGGGCTTTAAGAGTAGAAGACACTCGTAAGTTATTAGTATTTGACCACAGATGCCTTAGAAATATTGCTGGCGTCTGCTGGGATCACCGGGTAAGTAATAGTGAGGTTAGACGCAGGGTATTAGGGAATAATGGTAAATCAGTTGATGAGGTTATGAATCTTCATCGACTGAGATGGTTGGGCCACGTATTACGTATGCCTGAACACCGATCACCACGACGTGCAATGCTAACCGGTGTAGGGGATGGTTGGAAGAGAATTAGGGGCGGCCAAACCAAAACGTGGCATCAGTGCCTGAAGTCACTAACTTCTAGTCTGAGCCATGTTGGTAGATGCAGACTACTTGGTTGGGGTCCGCGTGACTATCGTAACCAATGGTTGGAGACTCTTGGTGACATGGCTCAGAATCGATCACAATGGCGTCGGTGTATACACTCCCTGTCTTCCCTTAAACTAAGAGATTAAAATCACTTCATATCTTTCTTTCTACGAACTAATTCTTTCTTCCTATACTATATCCTTATTGCAACCTTTGACCTAACCACTCCTATGAATCCGGTGTCCATCTTGCTGTGCTAATGAGGTATGGCAACCTGGACCGATGCACATATGTGCCTGGTCCTACGTTGTAGCTGACTGACTGACTAACTTCTAACATGCCTAATGTCACTGAGTATTCGGAACAGGAACTGCTGTCATAGTTTTATGTTAGTGTAGACTTATGTACACTTTACACGTTTATGTTGCCTACTACATGTATTCCGCATACTTTACTATAGCGCACAAAGAAGGAATATGGTGCTGCACATGGGGTGAAAATCGGAACAGAAATAAACAGTACATTATTACAGGTTCTTTAGATAATGGCCTCATCGCTTGGGAGTGGTAAGTGCATTATTTGCTGAGGTCTAAGATGCATAAACTGTTTATAAAGCTTGTATTTTTTTTGTAAGATGTTGACTGAAGATAGCTTCTGATAATTACGACGGTCTAATAATATTTTTAGCTTTCCTGTATGGTTAGATATAGCATAATTCTTAAAAGCTTTGTTAAATTTTTCTCAGTGAAAACTTAATGATTTAAAAACTATAATCTTATTCGTATATTCCACCCCTCAGTTATTGACTTATTTAGATATACATCCAAAACTTACAATTCGAGTAGCAATTTGACAGTCTGAACTCCACTCTACCTACTTCGGGTTGGTCAACCAGGTAGTGATATCATCAAGCTTCATACAAATGTTATGGCTCAAAGCCGAGTACGTAAACCTGTACTTGGTAGGTTAGTTACTTCGTCACAAATGATGGTTCTGTTTTAGTGATCCTTGACATTCCATCTAACCTATGTACATAGGTAGTTTTGTAATCCTAGTAACGCAGTTTCTATAAAAATCCTAACTACACTCTCGGATGTACTTTATGTTTAATGTTGCGAATTATATTCTATATTTACATGACTCAGTACTTCATAGTTGATGAAAGCACACTCTAATTTTGAGATATTTGTACAAACTTCGTATTGTTTGTTGCGTTTATTTATCATAAGTATTCTTATAAACTTCCCTAAAAGTTCTCCATCATTTGATCGAAGCTGATTCGCTAAAATAATCCAAATTATAGACATCTTGGCCCCACTCAGATTGAGTTTGATAATCAGATTTAATATTTATATTCCAACCGTATCGTATTACAAGTCACCCTCATAAAAGATGTTCTCGTAAACATCGTAAAATCACATGAAATCAAAGTGATATGAAAGTAATTTCAAAGTTTAACAAGTGCTAAAGTAAATATTTTCGTGAAAGGGATCACATACTCTCCAAAATGATATAACAGCATTCCCATACATTCTATCAAGGACAGTACGTCTGTTTATTTATAAAAAGCTAAGTAGGAGAAAGAGGTTAAATACGTATGTTCAGTATTAAAAAATGAGGACGACATATTTCACGCTTCAAAAAGATTCATTAGAAAGCAATAATTGGTTTTTACTATATATTCTATGTGCCAACTGCGTAATAAATTAAGACAATTTATCTAAGGTTAAACTACTTTACGGAGTTTTGATTTGTGTTGCTTGTTAATTTTGAATATATGAGTAAACTCTCGACCGTAATCTTTCCTGAATTTCTATTGGTAGTTGCAAGGTATCTCAACGCAAAGTACATAAAAGTATATTCAGTTGATTAATTAAGATAAAAGCTAATTTACTATGATTATTTGTTAAACTCCTACACCGAAGTAGTCGAATCATAATGAACAACTCAGCAACAATACTCTGTAATTCTTCATATTTCTATTTATCCAATTATTGCTCACCTGTTTATCACCATTTCTTTGTTTTAGGATTAATAGTCAGTTAAAATGTCTTTATCAATTTGAAGGACATAGATTGGGTGTTATTTCGGTTGACATAAATTCAACAGGTACACTAGCAGCATCCAGCAGTCTTGATAGCCAGGTAAGTTGTCGATGATTTTTTAATGTTTTGCCAATAATTAATATATATATATATATATATATATATATATATATATATATAATGATCTAGTTACGTAATGATTATTCAATAAGAACATATGTAGTAATGGTCCATAAATAATTCCTAGCAGTTACCATTCATTTATTCTTCGTTCGGACATAACATCAGTCTCATAGATTTCACTGTCAACAGTAAAGGTGACCAAACACATCAGATAACTTTTGTTCATTTGCTCTGTTAACTAGAAAATCCTTGGTTGTATTTCTTGATAAGCTTTATCGTCCATTCTATACCGTTCTTATCCACTTGCGTTTTGGCTGTACTTCTTTCCCTCTTGATTTATTCACAGTATTATTTCCTTATTTTGGTGCCTTGTGTTATATTTTAATTTTATTAACTAAATGGAAATATGCATATTTTGTTTGGATGTAAGTTAATCGGAGGTAGTCGATATGAAACTATGGACCTGGATTTCATAGTATTTTACACTCATCATTAAGTTATGCTTGTAATTTTGGATATTTATTTATTTATTTGAACACATAATTATTGGTGCAAAGGGGCACCGGATGCATATGTGCCATACAATAACGATGAGAATGTGAAGAGATAAAGAATGTACGTTCCGCATAAGAAAACGGGGAACAATAACGAACAGAAATAAGTGTATGATAGTGAAATAATAATAATGCGAGAAGCAGTTCAGTCAGCAAAGGTACAACCAGAAACAATCCTTTCAGTTAAAGAAATTACGTCCATTTTTTTATAAAGAAAGTAAAATAAAGTTACAGCATGATCGCCACTGACTTATATTCTGAGCCATATCTGATAACGTCTCTAGCCACGGTGTTGCACCATCTCTCGAAACCCAGCCAAGAGAGTCATGAAGGACCGACAAAAGCCAGTCCTGTACAGACTTCTTTCATGCCACGACACCATGTCATACACTAACCACCTCTCCGCTTTTTCCAACCAGTCCCAGCGTCAGCAAATAATACACGTAGTGGAATTCTATAGGCATACATTCTTGGTACCTGTCCGAGTCATTGAAGTCGGTGATGGAAGAAGATAGTGACACTAGTGTCATTATCGTCTCTGTGCCCGAACACACGATACAGAACCTCTGCATTACTAACATGGTGTTGCCACTGGATGTCAGCAATCCTTCCGAGAGTCTGGGAAATGTACGTTATCCCATCTAACTGGTCTCAATCACTGATTGTGCCAGTCTATAAGAAAGGACAAAAGTCTTGTGACAGTCACAGAGGAATCAGTTTGACTAATATAGTGTCTAAAATATTAGTTTCAATAATACTTCGACGCCAAACAAAGCTCGTGAAGAGCAGACTAGAGAAAACCAGGCTGGTTTTCGACTTGAACGTGGTTGTATAGACCAGATATTCACTCTACGTCAGGTCCTAGAACATAGACACACATTCAGACACCCCACAATCGTAGTATTTCTCGACCTTAAGGCGGCATTTGACTCTGTTGATCGTGAGGTTTTATGGCAGTGTTTGTCACTGAAAGGAGTACCAAAGAAGTACATTAACCTTGTAAAGGCTCTCTACTCGAACACAACTGGCCGAGTGAGAGCTTATGGCGAACTGTCATCAGAATCGATTACCTCAAGTGGTGTTCATCAGGGCTGTCTACTCTCTCAATTTTTGTTTAACTTTATCGTAGACGTGCTTTTAGAGATGACACTTTCCTCATTTAAATTTCCAAGGGTTGAACTTCCACCGGGAGATTCACTTGTTGACCTAGAATATGCCGATGACATAGTTCTATTTGGTGAAGATGCTGACAAAATGCAGTCTTCTGACGACCCTAAGCAACAATGCAAGCATGTTCGGGATGCGATCCCCCCCTCGAAATGCAAAATGTTACTTCAGGACTAGGTGGCATCGACACCCGAACTAATGATAGGGAGTGAAGTAGTTGAGCGTGTCGACCGCTTCACTTATCTGGGAAGTCTCATCAGCCCTTGTGGTCTGGTGTGTGGCGAAATCTCAGCACGGATACAGAAGGATCGACTAGCTTTTGCCAACGTGCGTCATTTATGGCGTAGGCGAGATATCCGTCTACCAACCAAAGGACGAGTTTAGTGTGCAGCAGTTTGCTCCGTCCTACTTTATGGCAGTGAAACATGGTCGGTACGAGTAGAGGATATTCGTAGGTTACTAGTATTCGATCACGTGTGTTTTCAAAGCATTGCTCGTATATCCTGGGACCACTGAGTAAGTAATGCAGTTGTTAGGAAACGGGTACTAGGTAAGGGTAGCAAGTCAATTGATGAAGTAGTGAAACTTCATCAGTTGAGATGGCTGGGACATTTGTTACGTATGCCCAACGACCGACTACTCCGACGTGCTATGTTTTATGGTGTAGGAGTAGGTTAGAAGAAATCTAGGGGCGGCCAAACCAAAACATGGCACAAATCCATGAAGTCACTGACAAGTGGACTGAGCCATGTTGGTAGGTGTAGACTACCTGGCTGGGATCCGCGAGATGATAGCAACCGATGGTTAGAGACCCTGTATGACATGGCTCAAAATCGTTTGCAATGGCGCAGGTGCATCCACTCTTTGTGTTCTCCAAAATTCTAATCTTGTGAATTCTTCATGTGCCTTTTTTCCTCTTTCCAAATTTATTTCACTGTATTATACTCCTTGAATAACATATTCAAACCCTAATCTTTCCGATTACTGCATATACTCTTGCCACCTCTACCACTACGGGATTTGAATGGACAACTGCATCTCTGTTGTAATGTGGTGTGGCAACTCGAACTGATGTACGTACGAAGTTCTACATTGTTACTGATTGACTGACTGTCGTTCAGTTGCAAACAATGCTCATCTATACTTTTCGGTAGGATTTTAGGTAGCCTTGAACCTAGCTCAGTTTGATATTTAGTTGCAACAGAAGCTGCAACCAATTTACTGAAATCGATTCGTTAAAGTCGGTGAATTTGTTGGCCACTAAAAAGTAAGATAGGATTAGCGCTAACAAGGGCATGATCAGAGTCTATATAGGTACTCCCAATGGAGCGGCAGTCTTGTAATTTTGAAGGAACTTATGCTCTCTGGCGAATTCGAGCTAACCTCCGATGGGACTAAGATATTTATAATTAATTGATCGCTAAATAGTACTCAGTGTCACGTTTATTGAGTCCTTCCTAATGCTTACCGAGTGCTATCGATCGACGAGTGTGGGTTTGCACATAGCAGATCTACGGTTTTCCGTCGACTACCTCCAACCTTCTGACATCTCAGCGTAGTACACGTGATATCAAGTCACTTAAACCAGTGGTCACAATGAAACATGAACACTAGCATTTGGTCAACGCTAAGATGTGACATTAGTTACTACTCTATGATTAATCAGTTGTAAGTGTTTTGTTATAAATCGGTATAGGTAGACAGTATGTTGGGTATTAAGATTTTTATTACCCCAGATGTGTGATCTCATTCATTATATGAAGACTATTTTGATTAGATGGGATAAAATGGCGAAAGCATATCTTTTTTTAAATTCAACGTGATAACTGCTCAGAATAATATTCGTTTCATTTTATATATTTGACTTTTAAATTGATAATCAAGCAGGTGTACAAACCGATATGTAAGTAATGGTATTTTTTGGCTAGGGTTGTCGCGTTTTGGAGTGATTAAATCTTCACCTGTATCAGTCCTTTGTGTTCTTACTTTGCTCTGTGGGAATTTTAGTGGTTCCTCGTTTTTAAGTAGTAGTGACAATGGATGTGGATATAACATTTTATCTTTAACTACCTTTTTGTTCACTCCTATTTGCTTCTCTTTACCTTCTGTTTCATTAGAATTTCCAACAGTCCTATTGTTTTCGTTTTCCTTCAAATTGGTGTTCATTTTTCTTCTCTTATTGTGTCTTGTCTATTTTATTGGCGTATCATGACCGTAAAAAAGATTTTGTCGCATTATCACTAAGCCGTTATAGTTTACATGCGTTTTCAAAGCTGGGGTAATGCACTAATCACATTAAATGTTGTTTATTGATTAGACACATCGATTAAGTTCTAGCCATTTCAAATCTCTTTCGTGTGCTGTATAGGATGTTAATTTTTGTTATGTTCTATTATACATATTTCAACAGATTTTATTATGGGATCTGGAAACAGGAAAGTTAACAAAAACATATGACGGTGATCCAGCTGATACCTGGACTGTTGCTTTCTCTCCTGATTCGCGTTTCCTAGCTACTGGGAGTCATACAGGCTGTGTAAATATGATTAATGTACAAACTGCTCAGAAAGAGGGTTCTATTCAATTAGAAGGGAAATTTGTCTACAGCCTTGCTTATGTAAGCTTTCTTTTCTGTTGTGTTGTGGTCAATTATTCGAAGAATAATTTTCTATTATTACTTACAGTCTATTGTTTTTCTGAGCAAAAAGAAGTTTATTCGTTTAAATATTTATCTACTGAATCCTATTTTTGTTTCCAGTACTCCTCTTAAATGTCTCTCTCAATGGGAAAACAGCATATTCATTATGCTGCCAAAAGTATGATTGTTAAGGCAATCAAGAGACAATTAATTGTATTATATTGCAATTAATTATTTTTGTTTCGACATTGTTCAAAATTTGTAAATGTCTATCAACTAAATGTTTTCAATGTCGTTTAGTTAATTGTATGAAGTTAATTAGTTGAACCTTATCAGCAAAATACTATAAATAGTAGAACAAACAACATGACTTTCTCTTACCATTATTGTTTACCATTTTGAAACATTTGAGGTTATATTAGTCAGTCAGTCAGTCAGCTACAACTTAGGACCAGGCACATATATGCATCAGTCCAAGTTGCCATACCTCATTAACACAAAAAGATGGACACCGGATTCATAAAAGTAGTTAATTCAGAGGTGGTAATATATAAAAGAAAGATTGCAATAAGGATATAGTACAGGAAGAAAGATTTAGTGCGTAGATAGGAAGATATAAAGTAATTTTAGTCTCATAGTTTAAGGGAAAACAGAGAGTGTATACACCGACGCCATTGTGATCGATTCTGAGCCATGTCACCAAGAGCCTCCAACCATTGGTTACGATAGTCACGCGGACCCCAACCAAGTAGTCTGCATCTACCAACATGGCTCAGACTAGAGTTTAGTGTCTTCAAGTACTGATGCCACGTTTTGGTTTGGCCGCCCCTAACTTTCTTCCAACCATCTCTAACACCTGTTAGCATTGCACGACGTGGTAATCGGTGTTCGGGCATACGTAACACGTGGCTCAACCATCTCAGTCGATAAAGACTCACAACCTCATCAACTGATTTACCATTATTCCCTAATACCCTGCGTCTAACCTCACTATTACTTACCCGGTGATCCCAGCAGACGCCAGCAATATTTCTAAGGCATCTGTGGTCAAATACTAGTAGCTTACGAATGTCTTCTACTCTTAATGGCCATGTTTCGCTGCCGCAAAGTAGAACAGAACGGACTGCCGTGCAGTATACTCGTCCTTTTATTGATAGACGGATATCTCGCCTTCGCCATAGGTGAGGTAAGTTGGCAAAAGTCAAGCGAGCTTTTCGAATCCGTACTGAGATTTCGTCCGATACCAACCCATTAGGGCTGATCAGACCTCCAAGATAAGTGAAGTTGTCAACGCGTTCGACTACTTCACTCTCTATTCTTAGTTCAGGTGTTGACACAGATCAGTTCTGAAGCAACAACTTGCATTTAGAGGGAGAGAAGTGCATCCCAAACATTCTGGCATTGTTACTTAGTGCTACCAGAAGACTCTGCATTTTATCAGCGTCTTCACCAAACAGGACTATGTCATCTGCGTATTCTAAGTCGATAAGTGGACCTCCTGGAAGGAGGTCAATACCCGAGAATTCAGTAGACGAGAATGTTATTTCCTTCAATAAGTCTATGATGAAGTTAAACAAAAATGGAGAAAGTGGACAGCCTTGACGGACACCACTTGAGGTTGCAAAAGCAGATGACAGTTCGCCATAAGCTCTGACTCGACTAGTAGTGTTCGAGTAAAGAGCCTTCACAAGGTTTATGTACTTCTGAGGTATGCCTTTCAATGACGGACACTGCCACAGAATCTCGCGCTCTACCGAGTCAAATGCTGCTTTCAAGTCAAGAAAAACCACCACTGTCGGACGCCGGTAAGTATGCCTATGTTCTAGAACCTGACGAATGGTGAATATGTGGTCGATGCAGCCACAACCAGGTCTGAAGCCAGCTTGGTTCTCTCGTGTTTGCAGTTCACGAGTCCTTGTTAAGCGTACGACAGTTATTGAGGCTAGTATTTTAGATACTATGGTTGTCACAGGATGTGATTTTAAACCTCTCTTATATATTGGGACGATAAGTGATTGTTGTAAGCAAAGATGGATAGTGGCTAGCAGTGGAATCCAGGACGCGCGTTTCGTCCTGTTTGGGACTCGTCAGCTGGATGTACCTGCATCTCAGAGTTGATGTTCACTCGGGGACTCGAACTCAGTATCGTCCGCTTCAAACGCCATCGCGTTATCCACTTAGCTACTGAGTCCTGATAGCCACTTGCTTGTGCAATGGGTTGAAGTTTAATTCACTTGATATTGTTTTATTTGAATCTTCCCATTGATGTTTTTGGACTGAAATTGATCAGTCTCTTATTGGCATATGTGCATACTGTGCGTATGCCTCGATATTGCCTTAATTTACAAGCATTGTAAGCAAAGATGGATAGTGGCTAGCAGTGGAATCCAGGACGCGCGTTTCGTCCTGTTTGGGACTCGTCAGCTGGATGTACCTGCATCTCAGAGTTGATGTTCACTCTGGGACTCGAACTCAGTATCGTCCGCTTCAAACGCCATCGCGTTATCCACTTAGCTACTGAGTCCTGATAGCCACTTGCTTGTGCAATGGGTTGAAGTTTAATTCACTTGATATTGTTTTATTTGAATCTTCCCATTGATGTTTTTGGACTGAAATTGATCAGTCTCTTGATTGTGACCAGTCAGATGGAATAACGTCTAACTCCCAGATCTTAGCTAAAATATTAGTCAACGTAATCGCTAAAATTGGACCACCATCCTTAAAGACCTCTGGAGCCAATCCATCTGAACCAGCTGCCCTTCCTCGTTTCAGATTAGCTATAGCCTTTCGAACTTCTGCTAGAGTTGGGGAACCTACTTCAATGTTCCATTCACACTGTCTGGGAATGTAGGGTAGTTGTAGAGTAGTTGGAGGCCAGCTGAACTGTTCTCTGAAATGTTCCGCCCATCGTTCTAAACATCTGGACTGAGAGCAGATGAGGGCGTCGTCTTTTTCCGAAATAGTCTGACTTACACTTATTAATTCCAGTTTCTTTTATTAGTCTGTAGAGCTGTCTTGTGTTCCCTATAACCGCCGCCTTTTCCATCTCTTTTGCTTTCGTTGCCCACCACTGCTCACGGTCGTTCCTTAGACTTTTGCCTAACCTAGATCTGATTTGTTTTCGCTCTTTATCGTGTTCAGAGCCTGATGGGATGAGTTTACGAGAATCCATCAGTGCAATAGACCTAGAGGAAATCCATTGGTTCCTTGTAACCCTGTGGTTTAAATCACTGATAGATATCACTGCTGTTTCCACAGCTGTTTGTATAGCTCTCCAAGCAACATCTGGGTCAGCCTCGTTTTCAGAACTATCTAAGTGTGACCTCAGTTATTCCTGGAACCTACTTTTGGTTTTCTCGCTACTCAATTTAGTTCTAATGGGTCTTTTTACTGTGGCTTTTTGCGTCCAGTGAGGCGCAAGCAGATGCGTGCCCGTATTAGGGCGTGGTCGGAGTCCAAGAAGGTACTCCAGGATGAGCGACAATCTTCTACCGACCCTCTCCAACGATGACTGATGGCAATATGGTCTATTTGAGTCCATCGTTGGTTTGGTGTAGGGGGTCGCCATGTTAGACGATGTCTCTCCTTATGCTTAAAATTGTGATGGTCTAACATCAATCGGTTCATGATCTCAATCAAAAACTTAAAATTTGTGTTTCCTAAAAATAAACGATTGTCTGAGCACAGTTGCAGCAGACGATCACCATTATCTGTTCGTTGTGCTTTTATTAGTTGTTACAACATTTGTCATTTGTACTCATATGTGTAAGCTTCATCAACCTACTGGTGATATTTTTTTCTCAGTTGGCATAAGTACTTGACGTCTGTATAAATATCCAAATTATCAAATTTATCAATAAAGCATTAAAAGAAATACTATTTTACGAAATTCCTTCATATTGAGGATCATATTTAGTTTTTTAAGGGGTTCCTATATGTATTTGTGTTTGATTGCAATATGATATAGGAGATTTTAAGCTAAACTTTTTTTATCTCAGGTTTAGCCATACTATCGGTTACATCAAATCAAATGTACTTGGTGAATATTTTAAACCTACCATCGTATTTTCTAAGAAAATTTATACCACTAATTCATAGCTTTATTTCCCCTTTAAAATCTAAGTCACTTTCCTTCATGGTTTGAGTAAATTTCATGTATTTAAACGTGTTAAAGTTAACTTATTCCGGCGACTTACATTATGTTGTATACCACACCTCGAATATTATTTCAGTGACTACACTTGAGATTTGTGCTTTAGAACAAAAAGAAATGGTCTTTTTCGTCATATCTGCAGAACATTTGAGATGAACGGTCAGCTTTATTGTAGATTTTAACTATATAAATGTTTTCAACTACTTATTTCGTGAATTCGTAGATCTCTGACCATTTATGATTTTTTTATTGTTTACGGTCAAGCTGTTGACTATATTTCCATAATCTTTTTCACATTCTTATCATAGTTTGTTAATAGATTATCCTTTTTTAATTTATAGTGTTACATTATATATAGTATTACCAATCCCTTCTCCTTCTATTATATCCTTATACACAGTCATTTTTGTATATAGAATACTATCATTGAAGTAACTGCTTCCATGATTTTGGTGTCCATCTTGTTGTGCTAATGGGATATAGCAACTTGGGCCAATGCATATATGTTCCTGGTCCTACGTTGTAGATGACTGAGCCTTACCAATTACAAATTGATAATAATATTTCACTTCTTTTACATAAATTTCTTTATATAAACAAGATCTCTGACGGATCTAAGCTAGCTGCTGGAACAATCAATGGGCTTGTCAGCATTTGTGATTTAGAAACAGGGAGTGTTCAATTTTTGGATGGACACGCCACACCGGTACGTTCAGTTTCATTTTCACCAGATGGACGTCTATTGGCTTCTGCATCAGATGATAAACAAATTAAAGTTTTCGATGTGTAAGTTCTTCATAAAATTTTTTTACTAGCATACTTAGTATTAGTCTACTCTAAATTCCTCGTAAAATCTCTTCCATTTTCATTTGATTTTTATAGTACTAGTTGAACTTCCCAGTGTACTACTTACTTTATAAGTCAACTAGCAGATAACGTGTTGTGAACTGCGAAGTCCACAATTTGCTTTCTATCATCTTGAGGTAGCAAATTTTCGTGGGCATAACTAGCCCACAAATGCCCTGGTATGGCCGAGAGCGGGGTGGGTTCTCCCTCCCTCTCGAAATACTCCCATACGGCCACGCGTATACAGCCTCTGCCAGGGAAGTCCTACTCACTGCCTTCTCGTGGCGAGGGTGTTGTTTACAAAAATGAGAGGACGAAAAGCGAATGTCCGGCGCTTTAGCCGGATCCCAAACCAATGGTACACATGGGCTCCAGTATTCTGAGGGAACAAATGGCGTATGAACCAATTTTCGGTCACCGGCTACCATGGGACTGTATCTCCTCACGATGCTCCACTGCCTTGTGGGTCAGACCTTTAGGTCAAAGGCTAGGGGTGTGGCCCCCTAAGATAACCACCTGCTTCGGCCTGGGTACCCGGGCAGTATCACAGCCAACACACAAATATGATGAAATGTCGATGTTTATGAAAAATACTTGTCTTGCTTCGATTAACAATCAAACGATTCACATTATATTATTGGTAGTATTATTGTTGTTGTTATTATTTTTTTACGTCTTTTATTCACTCTTTTATTCCCACTTTATGTATCCTTATTTTTCGACTTATACAGCAGCTCGCCTATGGTTGAAACTCGGTTCTATCTCAACGTCCTTGAGTCACTGCCTGGTTGAAAATTGTATGCTACCACCAAATACGAATACTAAAGCAGTTTTTCTGAAGCCATGTGTACCATTTAAACTGGCTGCCTTCAACGTTCGCACACTTATGCAGGTCGGACAACAGATAGGGCTGGCTATGTCTTTAGAAAGTCTTCATATCGATGTTTGTTGTCTATCTGAGACCCGTATTCAAGACTCTGGTGAAGTACTACAAATTCGCTCTCCATCTGTCGCTTCGAAAGGCTTGTTTTACGTGCGCTTATCCGGGGACCCTGTGGCATCTTCGTCTGGTCTTGCTGGCGTTGGTGTCGCACTAAGCGCTAGAGCTGAGGCAGCACTAATCGGTTGGATCCCCATTAACAGTCGGTTATGTGTTGTTAGATTAGAGAGTTCCATCAAAGTGAGAAGAAATCGACGTGAGAAACGATGTCTTTTCATCTCCGCCTACGCTCCGACAGATTGCAGCCCGGATGCAATCAAGTATGAGTTTTACCACCAGTTATCTGTTCTCCAGAAAGTGCGTCCGACAGATATTGTAGTACTAGCCGGAGACTTGAATGCTCAGGTCGGGCGTCTAGGCACAGAAGAGAGTCGATTAGGTGGTCGGTGGGGAATTGTTGGTCGCAGGACAGATAACGGGGACCGTCTACTGCAACTGTGCACAGATCACAACCTGTTTCTGGCTAGCACTAACTTTCGGAACAGTCATCGCCGATGTGCCACCTGGCGTCCTCCCTCTGCATCTCAATCCTGGACTCAGATTGATCACATCGCGATCAGCTACCGCTGGCGTGGTTTGGTACAAGACTGCCGCTGCTTTTGTAGTACCTATCTGGACTCTGATCATGCCCTGGTCTGCGCTAATCTCACCTTACTTTTCAGTGGACAACGAAGTGACCGCCATCAACGGATTGATATTAGGAAGCTGGTTGCAACTTCTGTTGCAAATAAGTATCGAACCGAGCTAGCCTCTAGGCTAGCTACCACTCCACCGAAAAGTATAGATGAGCATTGGTTGCAATTGCATGACGCCATGAAAATGGTGGGTACAGTCAGTTGTGGGTTCGCGAAACATCCCGCTTATAAGCACTGGATTTCTGCAGGTTCCTTACAACTCATTGAAGCCCGTCGGTCTACTCCGGGTGACCGTCAGTTTGGCCACAAACGATGGTTATTACGTAGCGAAATTGAGCAAAGCTTGCGTAAGGACCGAGAAACCTGGTGGTCGGAGCGTGCTAATGAGCTGGAAGCAGCAGCTGCATCTGGTAATTACCGGAAGCTCTTCCAACTCATCCGAGTCATTGTCAGCAAGAAGTCTGGTGTGAGTGAAACAATCTGCGAGGATGATGGGATGCCAATCACTAACATCCATCTACGTCTTGGATGATGGGAAGAATTTTTCGAAGGGCAGTTCAACTGGCCTGCTGCTCCGGCAACACCGGTCAGACTGTCCTACCCTCCATGGCCGGTGACGACTGATCCACCAAATGAGGCGGAAGTCCGCAAGGAACTCCAACTCTTGAAGCGCTACAAATCACCTGGCCCAGATGACTTACCTCCGGCCCTTTTTAAAGATGGTGATGAATTTCTGACTAAGGAATTGACGACGTTGTTTACAAAGGTCTGGGAGCTAGAGAGTGTACCGACGTCATGGAATGAGTCGATAGTTGTCCCTATCTTTAAAAAGGGTTCACGTCGTTCCTGTAACAACTATCGGGGGATAAGTCTACTTCCGATTGCGTTCTGGTCGAGGATGTATTGATCATATCTCCACCCTCCGCCAAATGTTAGAACACCGTCATACTTATCAAAGGCCAACAATCGTAGTGTTTCTTGACATCAGGGCTGCCTTCGATTCGTTGGATAGGACTGTTCTTTGGGATTGTCTATTGAAGAAGGGTGTGCCTGAGAAGTTTATCAACATCCTAAAAGCCCTATATACAAACACCTCAGGCAGAGTGAGGGCATACAACCACCTCTCTCCATTGTTCCATTCGAGCAGTGGGTTTAGGCAGGGTTGCTCAATCTCACCATTCCTCTTCAACTTTGCCATCGATGACATTCTGGAAACAGCTCTGATGGATGTAAGTAATGGCGGTGTGGATCTGTTGCTTGGAGAAAGACTTCTCGACCTTGAGTATGCGGATGATATTGTCTTACTGTGCGATAATGCCCAAGGCATGCAGTCCACACTAAATCAGTTGGCAATCAATGTCCGTAGGTACGGTTTGTGCTTTGCACCTTCGAAGTGCAAAGTTCTTCTACAAGACTGGCAGGATTCTAATCCTGTACTCACCCTGGATGGTGAGCAGATAGAAGTAGTCGAAAAGTTCGTGTATCTAGGTAGCTGCATAAGTGCTGGTGGGGATGTGAGTGATGAGATCAATGCACGTATACTGAAAGCCAGAGCGGCTTATGCCAATCTGGGCCATCTTTGGCGCCTTCGTGATGTTAGTCCGGCTGTAAAAGGTCGGATCTACAACGCGTCGGTGAGAGCAGTTTTGCTCTATGCTTGTGAAACCTGGCCTCTCCGAGTTGAGGACGTTAGACGACTCTCTGTGTTCGATCATCGTTGTCTCCGAAGGATTGAGGACATCTAGTGGCAACACCATGTCAGTAATGCAGAGGTTTGGCATCGTGTGTTCGGGCACAGAGATGATAATTCAATTGGTGTCACCATCTTGAAACACCGACTTCGGTGGCTTAGATATGTTCTCCGAATGTCGTCCCAGAGAATTCCACGTCGTGCATTATTTGCCGACTCTGGGACTGGTTGGAAGAAGCGGAGAGGTGGTCAGTGTATGACATGGTGTGTGAAAGAAAGCTGCAAAGGACTGGCTTCTGTTGGTCCTTCATGACTCCCTGGCTGGGGTCCGAGAGATAGCGCAACACAGTGGCTAGAGACGTTATCAGATATGGCTCGGAATAGAAGCCAGTGGTGATCCTGCTGAAACCTTCTTTTACTTTCTTCATAAAAAGTGGTTGTATCTTCCTAAACTGAAAGATTTCTTCTGATTGTACCTTTCCGTTCCCCCATTATTACCACTATTATTATTACACTACCTTACACCAACCTCTTCGTTATTGTTCTTTTTTTTCACACTCCTTATCTTTTTTCTTCTCTAGATTCTCATTGTTTTGTGTAGTGCATATATATTGGGCGCAGTCCTGTACCAATATATAGGTGTTCAAATAAATGAAAATAAATAAACTAGAAAGTTAAGAACATAGAATTTTTTTAGTTATGTGTTTTAAGCTACTTCAACCATTCTGATATGATGAGAAGAAAATTCAAAATTAGATTGATTGACTTATTATAATTTTTATTCAACATTACTTCCGTTTTTAATTCAATATGATAATTACTCAATATAGTATTTGTTTCTGTATTCCCGTATGACATTTTGTTATGTATAGCATACGTTATTCTTGTATTAAGTTAACGTGAACTATACTCAGCATATGATTTCTTATAACGGTAAGTATTTTTTATATGTGATTTCATAATAATTATTAATCGGTCAGTCAGTCAGTCAGTAACAATGTAGAACTTCGTACGTACATCAGTTCGAGTTGCCACACCACATTACAACAGAGATGCAGTTGTCCATTCAAATCCCGTAGTGGTAGAGGTGGCAAGAGTATATGCAGTAATCGGAAAGATTAGGGTTTGAATATGTTATTCAAGGAGTATAATACAGTGAAATAAATTTGGAAAGAGGAAAAAAGGCACATGAAGAATTCACAAGATTAGAATTTTGGAGAACACAAAGAGTGGATGCACCTGCGCCATTGCAAACGATTTTGAGCCATGTCATACAGGGTCTCTAACCATCGGTTGCTATCATCTCGCGGATCCCAGCCAGGTAGTCTACACCTACCAACATGGCTCAGTCCACTTGTCAGTGACTTCATGGATTTGTGCCATGTTTTGGTTTGGCCGCCCCTAGATTTCTTCTAACCTACTCCTACACCATAAAACATAGCACGTCGGAGTAGTCGGTCGTTGGGCATACGTAACAAATGTCCCAGCCATCTCAACTGATGAAGTTTCACTACTTCATCAATTGACTTGCTACCCTTACCTAGTACCCGTTTCCTAACAACTGCATTACTTACTCAGTGGTCCCAGGATATACGAGCAATGCTTTGAAAACACA